GCTTGACATCATGGGAAAATCAAAAGAAATCAGCCAAGACCTCAGAAAAAAAATTGTAGACCTCCACAAGTCTGGTTCATCCTTGGGAGCAATTTCCAAATGCCTGAAGGTACCACCTTCATCTGTACAAACAATAGTACACAAGTATAAACACCATGGGATCACGCAGCTGTCATAACGCTCAGGAAGGAGACGCGTTCTGTCTCCTAGAGATTAACATACTTTGGTGTGAAAAGTGCAAATCAATTCCAGAACAACAGCAAAGGACCTTGTGAAGATGCTGGAGGAAACAGGTACAAAAGTATCTATATCCACAGTAAAACTAGTCCTATATCGACATAACCTGAAAGGCCGCTCAGCAAGGAAGAAGCCACTGCTCCAAAACCGCCATAAAAAAGCCAGACTATGGTTTGCAACTGCACATGGGGACAAAGATCGTACTTTTTTGAGAAATGTCCTCTGGTCTGATGAAACACAAATAGAACTGTTTGGCCATAATGACCATCGTTATGTTTGGAGGAAAAAGGGGGAGCTTGCAAGCCGAAGAACACCATCCCAACCGTGAAGAACAGGGGGTGGCAGCATCATGCTGTGGGGGTACTTTGCTGCAGGAGGGACTGGTGCACTTCACAAAATAGATGGCATCATGAGGAAGGAAAATTATGTGGATATATTGAAGCAACATCTCAAGACATCAGTCAGGAGGTTAAAGCTTGGTCGCAAATGGGTCTTCCAAATGGACAATGACCCCAAGCATACTTCCAAAGTTGTGGCAAAATGGCTTAAGGACAACAAAGTCAAGGTATTGGAGTGGCCATCACAAAGCCCTGACCTCAATCCTATAGAACATTTGTGGGCAGAACTGAAAAAGTGTGTGCGAGCAAGGAGGCCTACAAACCTGACTCAGTTACACCATCTCTATCTGGAGGAATGGGCCAAAATTCACCCAACTTATTGTGGGAAGCTTGAGGAAGGCTACCCGAAACGTATGACCAAGTTAAACAATTTAAAGGCAATGCTACCAAATACTAATTGAGTGTATGTAAACTTCTGTCCCACTGGGAATGTGATGAAAGAAATAAAAGCTGAATTAAATAATTCAATAAAATAAAGTGGTGATCCTAACTGACCTAAGACAGGGAAGTTTTACTAGGATTAAATGTCAGGAATTGTGAAAAACTGAGTTTAAATGTATTTGGCTAAGGTGTATGTAAACTTCCGACTTCAACTGTATTTCATCCACACTAAACATTACTAACACATAGTGTATTTCCACTTAAAATACTATACACGTATGCCAATGTCTGTACCTAATATTGTACCAGCCTGTACTTTCCTTGTCTGGAAGGTATCATCATTGATAGCTGAGGCATCTCAAATGCCCTATTCCTTATATAGTGCACTACTTTTGGCCATAAAAATAATACACTGAATAGGGAATTGGGTGTCATTTGGGATACAGCCTTACCGAATCTGGGGGAAGATGTCCTCTTAAGGGAGGTGGGGAATCAATCCTCTAATGTCTCTGATCTGATCTCAGATTATCCCTTAAGACTCCATCCCCTGGAGGAGGGATAATAGGCTAGGAGTAAAGACATGAAAATAGTCATTAAAAAGCACTTTAAAGAAATTAAAGCTTAATCACATCCTCTTAGTGGATCTCAATGACTGTCATTTCCAACATATCAGTGTACAAAAAAAATAGGAAAAATAAGTACCCTACTTTATTTTCTTACTTTTTTAAACTACATTATTTACTATAATCTTGAATTGTTATACTCATGCAGGGAAATCATAGTTAAATTTGTGAAGCAACTATCTTCCTGGAAAGGCCTGTTAGAACTGTGACTGACCTAGGGCCTTGGTGAACTGCTTCACTGTCACATTCAATAAACTCACATCAGCAGTGGTGCCATTCCATTCTATGGTGCTTTTTATGACACTGTAGCTTGGGAGATGGTGTCTAACTCACAGACAGTGAAACACGTGTCTACTATGGTAGAAGCAGAGCGACAGTGGTGTAAAGTATTTAAGTAAAAATACTTTGATATACTACTTAAGTAGTGTTTTAGGGTATCTGTACTTTACTATTTATATTTTTGACAACATTTACAGTTGAAGTCGAAAGTTTACATACACTTAGGTTGGAGTCATTAAAACTCGTTTTTCAACCACTCCACAAATTTCTTGTTAACAAACTATAGTTTTGGCAAGTCGGTTAGGACATCTACTTTGTGCATGACACAAGTAATTTTTCAAACAATTGTTTACAGACAGATTATTTCACTTATAATTCACTGTATCACAAATCCAGTGGGTCAGAAGTTTACATACAGTGGGGGAAAAAAAGTATTTAGTCAGCCACCAATTGTGCAAGTTCTCCCACTTAAAAAGATGAGAGAGGCCTGTAATTTTCATCATAGGTACACGTCAACTATGACTGACAAAATTAGATTTTTTTTCTCCAGAAAATCACATTGTAGGATTTTTAATGAATTTATTTGCAAATTATGGTGGAAAATAAGTATTTGGTCAATAACAAAAGTTTCTCAATACTTTGTTATATACCCTTTGTTGGCAATGACACAGGTCAAACGTTTTCTGTAAGTCTTCACAAGGTTTTCACACACTGTTGCTGGTATTTTGGCCCATTCCTCCATGCAGATCTCCTCTAGAGCAGTGATGTTTTGGGGCAGTCGCTGGGCAACACAGACTTTCAACTCCCTCCAAAGATTTTCTATGGGGTTGAGATCTGGAGACTGGCTAGGCCACTCCAGGACCTTGAAATGCTTCTTACGAAGCCACTCCTTCGTTGCCCGGGCGGTGTGTTTGGGATCATTGTCATGTTGAAAGACCCAGCCATGTTTCATCTTCAATGCCGTTGCTAATGGAAGGAGGTTTTGACTCAAAATCTCACGATACATGGCCCCATTCATTCTTTCCTTTACACGGATCAGTCGTCCTGGTCCCTTTGCAGAAAAACAGCCCCAAAGCATGATGTTTCCACCCCCATGCTTCACAGTAGGTATGGTGTTCTTTGGATGCAACTCAGCATTCTTTGTCCTCCAAACACGACGAGTTGAGTTTTTACCAAAAAGTTATATTTTGGTTTCATCTGACCATATGACATTCTCCCAATCCTCTTCTGGATCATCCAAATGCACTCTAGCAAACTTCAGACGAGCCTGGACATGTACTGGCTTAAGCAGGGGGACACGTCTGGCACTGCAGGATTTGAGTCCCTGGCGGCGTAGTGTATTACTGATGGTAGTCTTTGTTACTTTGGTCCCAGCTCTCTGCAGGTCATTCACTAGGTCCCCCCGTGTGGTTCTGGGATTTTTGCTCACCGTTCTTGTGATCATTTTGACCCCACGGGGTGAGATCTTGCGTGGAGCCCCAGATCGAGGGAGATTAACAGTGGTCTTGTATGTCTTCCATTTCCTAATAATTGCTCCCACAGTTGATTTCTTCAAACCAAGCTGCTTACCTATTGCAGATTCAGTCTTCCCAGCCTGGTGCAGGTCTACAATTTTGTTTCTGGTGTCCTTTGACAGCTCTTTGGTCTTGGCCATAGTGGAGTTTGGAGTGTGACTGTTTGAGGTTGTGGACAGGTGTCTTTTATACTGATAACAAGTTCAAACAGGTGCCATTAATACAGGTAACGAGTGGAAGACAGAGGAGCCTCTTAAAGAAGAAGTTACAGGTCTGTGAGAGCCAGAAATCTTGCTTGTTTGTAGGTGACCAAATACTTATTTTCCACCATAATTTGCAAATAAATTCATTAAAAATCCTACAATGTGATTTTCTGGATTTTCTTTTCTCAATTTGTCTGTCATAGTTGACGTGTACCTATGATGAAAATTACAGGCCTCTCTCATCTTTTTAAGTGGGAAGAACTTGCACAATTGGTGGCTGACTAAATACTTTTTTCCCCCACTGTATATACACTGAGTGTACAAAACATTAAAAACACCTTTCTAATATTGAGTTGCACCCCCCTTTTTTACATTTAGAACAGCCTCAATTCGTCGGGGCATGGACAAGGTGTTGAAAGCGTTCCACAGGGATGCTGGCCTATGTTGACTCCAATGTGTCCCACAGTTGTGTCAAGTTGGCTGGATGTCCTTTGGGTGGTGGACCATGCTTGATACACACGGGAAACTGTTGAGCGTGAAAAACCCAGCGGTGTTTCAGTTCTTGACACACTCAAACCGGTGCGCCTGGCACATACTACCATACCCAGTTCAAAGGCACTTAAATATTTTGTCTTGCCTATTCACCCTATGAATGGCACACATACACAATCCATGTCACAATTGTCTTCAGGCTTAAAAATCCTTCTTTAACCTGTCTCTGCTTTTCCATGACTATTTTAGATTATTTTATGATCGGTTTTATATGAGGCTGCTACTGATAGCTGTTAAACATAGCCACGTTGGGTTTTTAAGATGGTCTCATCAACCATGTCAGCTTAAACAATAGAGTAGCCTAAATGTATATCAAATAAACAATGGAATACCAGAAAAGACATGCTTATAGCTGATAGAAACCGAATGGTGTCAGAAGTTAAGCAACGGTTGTCTTCTTAGTATAGCCTACCACCTCCACTGGTCTTTTGGTTGGAATTCTAAGTGACAAGGATTACCACCTGCTGGTAACAACTAGTAACTGCATTTGAATGAAGCATTACATTTATGCTAATAACCACTACTGAATTTTATTTCTGATTTCTATGAAGCAAAAAAGGTTATCAGAGATTTTCCAACTTTGACACTGATTACAAAGCAGGGAAATTAGGGGAAGCATTGGTCAACATTGTGAAAATGTATACAACAGGGTAAGAAGCTGTAATAAAAAACAATTAAGAATCGGTCCTCATAATCTTTCATTAAAACAGTCTGTTGATGGGTATCCAATAGCCTAGTCCGTACTGGATGTGCTGTAGCCAACTATTTTATTGTTTGATCAACTATGGGACAAGGCTATAGGCCCTGGTCAAAAGTAGTGAACTATATAGGGAATAGGGTGACATTTGAGATGCAGCCTAGGAGCTCCATGTTCTGTGTTCATCTGTTGAGGACCTTCCTGAGATGTTCCAGCTGTGCCAGGTTGATGCTGCTCCCTCCACAGACGATCATGACCAGGGGTCCTGCTAGGGGAACGGGCAGCCGGCCCTCACCCTGCAGTCTCTGGATGACTCCACAGTACACAGCCGCTAACGCAGCCCCGCAGGCCAGTTCCACCAGCACACGCTCCTCGTCTGAACACACACACATACACGCAACCACACAGACAAGGAGGCACACACACGCACACAAGCACACATGCACAACAGCAGGCACACATGCGCACACACAAACACATACATAGTTTTAGTCGTAGTTGTAACAGTAGCTACGTTTCTTTTAGGATAAAACTATACATCAAATAAAGCAGAGTAATGTATGGAGATGTATTGAACATTTAAAACAATTATAGAATGCTCCATCTGACAACAGTGGTGGCTGGTATAACACTCACCAAGGAAGGTCTCCACTGCTTGCAGGGCCTGCTGGTCAGTGACCAGCTCTGATATGATGTTCATGTTGCCCTCCTTAATGTACTCAATGGCCTGGCTGCACACCGTCTTCGAACCCAGACACTTGGCCTCACTGGCAATGCAACCATCATCCCAGATCATTACAATGGAATATAATAAAATAAAATAGAAAATAATTGAATAGATTTGAATAAAACATTATGCTAAATGAATATCTCACAGTTTAATCTCTGTTCTCTTCTCACCTGGTGATGTCAGGGAGGGTGACTATCTTGCCAGCCTTTACTGCTGCGTTAAAACAGTCTGCTCCCTCAGTCTCCATGCAGAGGATGGGCACACTGCCCCAGCCCACTTCCTTCATGCCCTCCACCACCCCACAGAGCAGCCCTCCTCCCCCCACAGATAAAACAACAGCCCCAGGCTTGGATGGAAGAGAGGCCTTGATCTCTCTCACAATACTGGCATGGCCTTGCCTGGGGTAGAATCAAATAAAATAAAAATGTATTTAAATTGTATTTTCCAAACAAATGTGTCACCAGACACTTTACACAAAATCGAAAGGGGGAAAAATGAGACAAACAAGAGGAAAAGGGGAGGGGAAATTGTTCATTCAAAAGAAAAGGCAACAGCAACTCCTAATAGTAGAAGAATGGTGTTCATTTCACATAATCTGAACCATTATGTGTGATCTAAGTCGGTCATTCTAGATGTCATGTCCCTTACAGGCTAATTTAAGGTTGGTCTGACTGGAGTATCTTCTCACCAGAGCAGAGGATGGTCAAAGGGTGGGACATAGGTCAGGCCATCAGTCTGGGTCAGACGCAGGGCCTCATCATTGGCATCATCCCACACCTGAACAGGCAAAATGAGACATACAAATGGCAACACACACCTGGGGGAACAGAGTAGCCTACAAAGTCCACAGGTAAGTCAGTCTTCAGTTATAAGGCTGGCAAAAACTCGAGAGGAGAGGTGGTCACTAATTGTCGGGATTACCTTGCCAGATACTCTGACCGTGGCTCCCTGGTCCTTCAGTTTCTCCCTAATCAGCTCAGGCGTGGATGAAGGCACAATGATAGTTGCTGGAATGTTTAGTTTGCGTGCTACATAGGCTGTGGCCATCCCCGCGTTGCCACCTGAACACAACATAAAGATATTGTCATAATGGGGAATGTTGGGATAATTTGGAAATATTATTATATAAATCGTCTACTACCTGAGGAGCAAACAACTCCTTTGGACTCTGGTCCTGCAATCTAGAAATTTAAAAAAGTATAATGCCATTGATCAGATATATATACACATATATAAAAAAAATAGAAATCTAACTGAGAAAGATTGAGTGATTTATATATTGAAACGTTGCTTTTTTTCCGTTTTTATCATCATGAACTCAAGACACCATTAAATGAAATGTTCTCTGGTCAACACTAGGAGGTGTTGTCGCACAAGTGTTTGAACAGTAGTAAACAAACCATTTTTTAATAATGGCGGATATTTTCCATATTCCATGACGAGCAGAATGTCAAAGGTTCGTTCGTTTTAAGTTGTTTGTTTCCAGTATGTAGGCCCATCACTTGTGTAAAACAATAGGCTAATCTTTGAAATGTTACTACATCTCTATTCTAAGTATGTTTGTCATTAGATGTCATATAAATTAGATTTACGATCATTTTACTTAAACCCTTTGAACATGCTTACCTTTTGGCACAGGTGTCCGATACCGCGGATTTTGAATGAACCGGAGGGTTGGGAACTTTCCATTTTTAAATACACATTGATCCCCGCCCGTTTTGACATGTCTATGCTCTCCAAAAACGGGCTATTTATGTGAAAGGCTTTTGGGCTTGCCATGAGGGCTCAGGATAACGACTTTGAAAGTCTTCGGAATGCGTAAATTACGTGTGTGCAAATCCAGGTTTTCTTTTCACGCCTATGTGCCCAATCCACAGAGAGATGCAACGTACCGCTGTCAACAAAAATTTACATTCCAGTGCGGATGACAAGGCAATAATAGGCAAGAAGTGGGCTACTGTAGGACAATATTCCGTTTGTAGGCGGTGCAACTTTGTGACAAGATAGTTTACTGCGGCAATCAGTACAGGATTTCTCCCTGACCTTCGCATAAACTGCACCTATCACATATCTATCGGTCAATGTTTAGCTTTCAAAGGAGGTGGAAAGGATCATATATTAACTGACACGCCCCCTGTTATTAACTCTTGTTTGGTAGACTGTATGAAGACTGTAGCCAATTGTAAGCATTGTGCATAGCATAGTGAGACGTTACTACTATGTTATAACAACATACAACATTCTATGTAACAATTTGTTTTATTCCCATTCAAGGGAAATCATTATTTATTGTGTACATTTACATTTCATGGGGCATATTGATAGGTGTTTGTTTTGTATGTCACATAATAACCCATCCATACAGCAGACTGTAATACACAACCAGTAAATCAAGCCAGCGTCAGTCAACAGGTAGGCTATACTCAGTGATCAAATTGTGTATTAATTTGCATGATGGGTATTAAATAGACAACAACCAACCTGAAACAAAAATAGGGGAAATAACACAATGTACAAACTTCTGCCTGAATTTAACTCAATATGAATACAAACTCCAAAAGAGAGATCCTAACTATAGACCTCCTGTTTGGGTGATAAAGCATTTATATACTGTAGGCCTATGAGTGTTTGATGAGCTTAGTTTCAATTCACACCCATAGTTAGCTTCATAGTTATTGTATCTGTAGAAGAAAATGCTGCACCTCTCACTTTCCCATCCCAGCACTACCTCTTCCACTCATTCCTTCAGAACACATTTTGGTTCACAAAAATAACACCAACATTGTATGACTGTTTTAAACATTCCACATCTCTTTCAGTAGCTTTAACCAGCCTTCAAAGTCGTTCAATAACACCTTCTGTCACTTTTCTTCCTGTTCTTCCTCGTAAAAACATTCTCTTATCTCTTGCCTTCTTTCCTCCACTGAAACCCTGAAGATTTGACTTCCAGGGTAACTGTCCATCTTCATCTAATAGCACTTAGTTCAAACACATATTCACTAACTCATGACTGCCTCTGTCCTGTCCTCTGCTCCCTTCTCTGAGATTATCACATTCAAGTCCTTACTCGACTGACACACAGGAGAAAACCACTGAGTGAGAGGGAAGGGGAAGCCCAGACCCAGAGTATTCGCTGAATGAGGGGGTGGTGGCAGGGCGGTGGGAGTCGTAAAAAAAAATAGTAAAAATGGTGCTTCATTGCTTCATGAACCAATGAGGAAAAAGTCAGCTTTGTCGGGGAGAAAAGCGAAACTTTGAAAATCCAGACAGGGATCTCCGGGTGGTGTATGCTGGCTCTTCTTCCTATTTAGTAAGTGACCACCAATACTGAGCCTGTCTGTCTGTCCGGATATGGGCCACTCTGTCCATGCCCTGGCCCTTGTTCTTTGTTCTGGGGTGGCACAGACTGACACAGAGAGAGGGCACTGTCCCGGCGCTGCCACTCTCTGCAAGTCTAGTCAGCTCCAGCTCTGAGCCCAGTCCCAGCACAACAACGTGCACTATCTTCTCAGCAACGTGCACCGTCTTCTCTATGCCAGAGAACGTTGTCTAGGCTTGATCCTTGGATACAACTGTAAGAAGAAGAAAACGTTATTGTTCATTTTATTTTCAGATCAAGGAAATTCAGCTTATACAGGCAGATACAGCAGGGGGTGTCATGTCACAACATAGGATTTATTACAAATATTTTGAGATGCCACTTCTGTCATTTGGGTTAAAGATCCTATCCAATTTCAACTAACATTTAATTAACATGTCATTTCAAACAAGATTGGGGACATCTATATACATAGTATATAAGCATAAATACACCACCTTAATCACAGAATTATAGGATCTCTATGATATTAACATCCTGGTGATTCAGACCATAGTTATATCCATCATGGTGGCTGGCCTTACCCCTAGCAGGTTGCGTGGCACGTATCCCTCCTTGTCATGTAGTCTGGCCCACCACCACTCTGTCTCAGCGTCGTCCCTGCGACTCAGAGTGGTAATGGCGTCTCCCTCGTGGAAGGACAGCTCGTCTGAGCTCTGGGCCTCGTAGTCCCACAGCGCGTACACTGACCCTTTATTCATCACACCCAGCTTCTCCTGCACCCCTGGGGGACGGATAGAGGGGAAGAGGGTCACTTCACAGTTCACATGGAAACACTATTGAACCTTCCTGACACAAAACCATTGCCCTGTCCAGAAAACCCTCGCCGAACAATAAAGTTGGAACTTCACCTAGCCTTCAGATAGGTTATGATTGGTGTCACACTTTTGCCCCAGCTAGCACACCTGATACCAATAATAAACTAATCATGATCTTCCGTTTAAAATGCAATTAGTTGAATCAGCTGTGTTTGCTAGGGATGGGGGGAAAGTGTGACACCAATCAGGACCCTGAGGACTGGAGTTTCCCACCCCTTAGGTGGAGCTTTCGCCATATTGCTTATACCTATCCAATTCTACATATCCTAGCATGAGTGCCTAGAGTGTAGGCTGTAGGGTTGGGAGTTGTTTTAAGCCCCACAGATGTACACAAGAGTGTAGGGTGTAAGGGCTATGGGTTCTTTGTGGACAGGAGCCACATGTCTCTCTATATAACACCACTCACCGTAGAGGAACTGGGAACACTGTGTGTATCCGTCCTCCATCTCCTCACACTTATCAGCCGCTGTCTCCACATCACTGATGGTGGTGGCAAAGATGGCCGCCCCTGACTCCACCAGCATCTTACAGAGATGCACACTGTTACAGGAGGCCGCACAGTGTAGTGGGGTCCTGGAAATATGACGGACACAAAAAGAGAGACGTTCATGGAGACATTGTGTAGTCTTGACCATTTTCAATGCAGGTGAGCAAAGCTAAAGTAAAAGAGAAAGAAATAGAAAAGATCAAGTGAAAGAGGAAGGTAAAGAAAATGGTCACAGCAGGTTTTAAACAGTGTTTGTCCTCACCATCCATCGCTGTCAGCAGCGTTGACGTTAACCCCAAAGTCGAGCAGGAACTTGACGATGTGGTGATGTCCAGCACATACAGCATTGTGCAAGGGGGTGATGCCCTCGTCATTGGCTGTGCTGGGGTTCTCAACCTGCATGGGGGAAATGGTCAATCAATCACATTTCATTATTCAATTAAATAAGAATGATAAAGACCTTTTTACATCAACAGTTGTCACAAAAGCCCTTAAAATGTTAAAAGAGCAGACGATTTAGAAGTCAGTTTGAAATCCCTCACAGGCTGACAGTCTGTGGTACATAAAATAAGAAGACTCAACACAGTTCATTTATCTTCTGGGATAATAAAGTTTGAATTGAATTGAAGAGCCTATGATTACCTCATAGATGATCCTTTGCACCAGGTCAAACTCTCCCTCCAGAGAGGCGTCCAGTAGCAGAGCCAGGGGGTTGAACTTGACCCGCAGCCCGTGGCCTGTCCGCTCTGACTCAGGCTTCTTCAGGTTAGTCCTCTTGATCTGCTGAGACAGAGAAAGGGGAGTTACTCTCTGTCTAATGTGAAGAAAGTAATGTCTGCAACTCTGATGGCAACTCTAACATGAGTCAGAGTTACAGTCATTACTTTCTTTTTTTCAAGGAGTTTTTGCTTACCATGTGACCTGACCAGGAGAAACTCTGGACCCTATGAATTATGACATACAAAAAGGAAGCATGCTGTTACATTATGGAGCTGTAGTTCGGCAGGCTTACCTTAGGCAGTGCCGGGGGTGTGACAGTCCGGGGAGAGGTGTCTTTCTGCTGGGGGGACGAGGCCTCAGGGATGGGCCTTGGAGGGGAGGTGGTGCTGGTGGTGGTAGGACCAGGCTGGTTGTTGTTGTTGTCTTCCAGGCTGGGCTGGGGGGTGGGCAAGCAGGGAATGGTCTCACTGGGTGGGGGTGTCCTCTGCTGCTGATTCTCATTGGAGTCAGAGGAAGGGGACAGGCGATGGTCTGAATTGGGACCCTCTGCTGCAGTGACCACCAGGGAGGCGGTCTCCATCAGGTTCCCATTAGCAGTGTTGATGTTGTCCATGTCAGGACATCCCAGGACACCACCCATGAAGACAGGCTGGTAGAACGGCGTGTTGTTGCTGCCCTCCATGCCTCCGGCCAGGGTGTTGAAGCGCTGGTACAGGAGCTTCTGGATGTTGGGTCCAGTGGGGCCCTCTGGCTCTGTGATGGAGCTGCGTTTCTTCAGCGGGCGCGGTGCGTTGGTCAACCGCCGGCGCAGGACCTCCAGGTCGGCATCACTCTGGTAACGCAGCGGGGAGTGGGCCACCGGGGTCAGCTTGGTGGGGCTCAGGGGCCGCGGGATGTTCTCCACACTGGGAGGGGGTAGGCGTCTACCCTCTGTGGTCTCCCCTTCCCTGCCCACCATGTCCTCTCCACCTCCCAGGCCTCCTCCTGGGGACAGGGCCCCGTGTTGGAAGGGCACAGGGGAGGGAGAGGTGCTGGAGGGAAGCACTGGTTTCCCATACACTACAAACAAAAGGAGATAAAGATATTATTATAGGACCATACCGATTGAGACCCAACAGGAAAGTCAAGCGTTATCTGAATCAGGGTTCAAATGGGTTTGCACTTTTGGGACTATTACATTGGTCCTACTGTACCAGGCAAGTGCAATCAAGTGCAGATTAATTATTTGAAGGAAATCAAATACTATTAGAACCCAGGTCTGACTGACCCTTTACAAAATATAATGTTTATCTATTCAGGGGTTTACCTGCTTTGACAGCAGACCTGCCTCCTACTGGGTAGCTCTTGGCTGCAGGCTGCTGCAGGTACATGTGGTAGATGGAGGAGGAGTTCATGGTGGCAGGGCCCTTCCTGGGGGACTGAGGCCTGGAGGAGGACCTGTCTGGGACGTAGGGCCTCACAGCCACAGCCAGTGGGGGGTCAGGCCTCTCCCCCTGGCCCGACTGGGGTGTAGAGCTGGGGGGGACAGAGATACGCTGCTGGATCTGCTGGGAGGAGGAACCAGGAGGTGCTGGGGTTGGGGCTGAGCGCTGCCAGGCTAAGGTAGCAGGGGCAGACCTGGGCAGGGAGCTGGTAGAGCAGACTATAGACGGGTGGCCAGTAGGTGCAGGGTAAGTCCCGTAGATGGGTGGTGGTTTGGACACAGATCCTCCTGGTAGTTTACTGGAGTCAAGGCTCTGTGGAGGGAAACACAGTGAACCAGTTAGATAGATGTCCATGTAGGACAGTACGAAGGAGAGAGTCCAAGGAATGTGTGAAAGAGCAAAACGTGAATGGCTGCGTCTCAATAGTCTAAAGTGGTTTCTCTACTTGTGTCCTCTCCTTCTCCTTCTCCTTATTGATCTGAGAAAACAGGGTCTGTGAAAGCAAAATGGTGCAGAATGCCTACCAGGAATTTGCTTTTCATGGTTAGTTATTGAATAACAGTGCAGGTGAAGGAGATGAAATGATGATAGGAAGCCACTTTAGACTATTAAGATGTACTCAATGACTGTAGTAGTGGGAGGTGAAGTAGGGATCTCACCTGGTCTGGGCTGGTGTTCCTCCAATCTGAAGGTTGGCGCGAGGAGACACTTTTACTCAGGGTGGGCCACACTGCATCATTGGCTACAGGAGGGGTAGAGAAGAGAGGGATTGAGTGAGAAAGGCAAGAGGTAAAAGAGGGGGGGGAAAGACAGCAGGACAAGTAGTTTGTGTTTCAGTATAAAGGTTGGTGGATGATTGGCTGTGCTATTCCAGTTGTCTCGAGAAGTGATCGATAGAATGTTGACGGTAGTCTAAATGAGCAACAGAAAATACAGTTACTCACAAAACACTGTGTATTTGAAGAACTAGTACCTGTAGCTAATACGTTTCCATTTCTATTTCACGTTGCTCTCTTTGCCTCTCGGTTAACCCAGAACTAAAGTCTTGCATAGTTGGTCAGATGCTCAATTAAGTCCTGGGTCCATACGTGTTAAGAGAAGAGATCAAATGAGGATTGGAACGAAGAGCTCCACTCTCTCTCTCTGCAAGTTACAGTCCAAATGTCCCCTCCCCTTCCAAAATTCGAAAGATGCTAACACCTGCGAAATCGCGATTTGCCCAAAGCACCGGAACTAATGCTGCTCGCTATCTCGCGCATCCCGTTGCATCATGACAGATCTACGGTACCATTTATGTTTATGTAGTCTGTCCACTAGAGATTAGTCTCATACAGACTGGTACAGTACAGGAACAGGATGACATCCATACCTATAGTGCAGGACAGACTGACCTGAGGGACACAGGGTCAGTTCTAATACAAGGAGTATGTGCTGGGTGTATTTTGGTCCTGTCCCCGTTTCTGATCCGGTTTAGATCAGGTTAAAGAGATTAGAGAATGTCTATCCCTCCAAGAGGATCTCTCTCGCACTCCCTCTCCCTCTCTTCTCTCACTCAGTCTTTCCTGCACTGTCTGGAGGTAAACTATTCCCTGCATCCTGTCTGTCTGCCTGCCAGGCTTCCTATTAAACCTATTGCAGTGTCTGTGCCAACTAAGCCACTGCTACTCTCCCTTTCAAACATTACAAATGCCCAGTCCTATTAAAGGTGAGCACTAGAGGTGCTACATCATCTAAGGCTGCGCCTGAAATGGCACCCTATTCCCTATATAGAGCAATAGTTTTGACCAGGGCCCACATAGAGCTCTGGTCAAATAAAGTGGACAATATAGGGAATAGTATGCCATTTCAGGTGCAGAACAAGTCCATCAAAGAGGACACATCATTCCTCTCTCTACATGAGTCCTGTTTGAATTGTTACATTCATAGAGGTGGAGAACAATGCATCAGTAACCTCTTCTCTAATGTCATGGATCTATTTTTGTCCATACAAATAAACCATGTTGCCTAACCATTTCCCCTTATTCAATAGAGGTCGTTTAGACTGACCGTGGTATTTTTGGCTACAAATATTGACACAATAACATTAAATTCCAATATAAATAAATAGATTTTCTAGACGGGAAAGGAATGGGACCTCATAGTAGGCCTACTGAAGATGAACAAAATAGTTACATAATGATTCAACCTGTAGCTACATGTTTCATGTAAGGAGGGAAGGATGTGGCATTAGTTTTAGGTAGATGTTCTATGTTATCCTATGTTTTGTAGTTGATATAGGGCCTTGTTATTGAGGCCCCACTCAATGTATATATTTCATTTATGTATAAAAGAAGGGAAAGGAAGGCTGTGGAATTAGTTTTAGGTAGAAGTTAGAACTATATTATACATGCATGTACATAACTATCAGAATGTATGTTTAAGGCCTGTTGTTGATATCGGGCCTTGCTACTGAAGCCCCTCTCCTTCTGCTGCCCTGGCCCCTGGCTGCAGACTCACTGTTGGCACCGTGGGCCCCTGAGGGGGACCGGGGCCCCTCTCTCAGCTCCACGGGGTCCACTATGATGTCTAAATCTGAGACCTTCCATTGGCCGGAGGGCTTCCTCACACCGCACCCCTCCTCCTCTGCTGAGCCGAGACCACCACGCACGCCATGGTCACAACAACAACATCAACAACAACAACAATAACCGTGACAACAACAGCGGGAAAAGACGATACAAGTAAGGGAAGGAGAAGAAGAGGTCCACAGACAGACATGAGAGAATAGAGAGGACAGGAAGTTAGAGAAAGCTGAGCCAGATAACTGAAAAATATGACGAGTTTAGAATTGAAATATCTGCTCAGAGGTGTTATGTGCTGCTACCACTCTGAACTAAAATCCTCTACCACCTCCTCCATAGCAATCTCACGATTGTCGAGATAAGATCAACAAAGGTGTCCTAAATAGACTGATATAGTCTGACAGTCAGTAGTTTGAGAGTGATAAAGTAGGTAAAGCTGTGGAGTGTGGAGCAGGGACTGACCTGATTTGGAGCGGCCATGGTTGATGGTGCCAGTCCCAGGGACAGACTGTGGTTTTAGGGGGTCTGGGGGCAGAGCGTAGCCCCCCTCCTGTCTGCCTGGGACGGGGACCTGGATGTAGGGACACACCGCGGCCACGCGCCCTGAGCTGCTGGGGGTGGGCTGGGGGGAGGGAGGCCCATTTATCCTGTTAAGCTGTGGAGTGGAGAGAGAAAGACGGGAAATAGAATGTCAGCTATACTTTCACAGTGGTTAAAATCACAATGATCTTCTGTAGATTACAGAGAATTGCAAAGAGACAGAGAGAAACCAACTCCCTAAATATACTGCTCAAAAAAATTAAGGGAACACTTAAACAACACATCCTAGATCTGAATGAATGAAATAATCTTATTAAATACTTTTTTCTTTACATAGTTGAATGTGCTGACAACAAAATCACACAAAAATGTATCAACCCATGGAGGTCTGGATTTGGAGTCACCCTCAAAATTAAAGTGGAAAACCACACTACAGGCTGATCCAACTTTGATGTAATGTCAAAATGAGGCTCAGTAGTGTGTGTGGCCTCCACGTGCCTGTATGACCTCCCTACAACGCCTGGGCATGCTCCTGATGAGGTGGCGGATGGTCTCCTGAGGGATCTCCTCCCAGACCTGGACTAAAGCATCCGCCAACTCCTGGACAGTCTGTGGTGCAACGTGGCGTTGGTGGATGAAGCGAGACATGATGTCCCAGATGTGCTCAATTGGATTCAGGTCTGGGGAACGGGCGGGCAAGTCCATAGCATCAATGCCTTCCACTTGCAGGAACTGCTGACACACTCCAGCCACATGAGGTCTAGCATTGTCTTGCATTAGGAGGAACCCAGGGCCAACCGCACCAGCATATGGTCTCACAAGGGGTCTGAGGATCTCATCTCGGTACCTAATGGCAGTCAGGCTACCTCTGGAGAGCACATGGAGGGCTGTGCGGCCCCCCAAAGAAATGCCACCCCACACCATGACTGACCCACTGCCAAACCGGTCATGCTGGAGGATGTTGCAGGCAGCAGAACGTTCTCCACGGCGTCTCCAGACTCTGTCACATGTGCTCAGTGTGAACCTGCTTTCATCTGTGAAGAGCACAGGGCGCCAGTGGCGAATTTGCTAATCTTGGTGTTCTCTGGCAAATGCCAAACGTCCTGCACAGTGTTGGGCTGTAAGCACAACCCCCACCAGTGGACGTCGGGCCCTCATACCACCCTCATGGAGTCTGTTTCTGACCGTTTGAGCAGACACATGCACATTTGTGGCCTGCTGGAGGTCATTTTGCAGGGCTCTGGCAGTGCTCCTCCTGCTCCTCCTTGCACAAAGGCGGAGGTAGCGGTCCTGCTGCTGGGTTGTTGCCCTCCTACGGCCTCCTCCACGTCTCCTGATGTACTGGCCTGTCTCCTGGTAGCGCCTCCATGCTCTGGACACTACGCTGACAGACACAGCAAACCTTCTTGCCACAGCTCGCATTGATGTGCCATCCTGGATGAGCTGCACTACCTGAGCCACTTGTGTGGGTTGTAGACTCCGTCTCATGCTACCACTAGAGTGAAAGCACCGCCAGCATTCAAAAGTGACCAAAACATCAGCCAGGAAGCATAGGAACTGAGAAGTGGTCTGTGGTCACCACCTGCAGAACCACTTCTTTATTGGGGGTGTCTTGCTAATTGCCTATAATTTCCACCTGTTGTCTATTCCATTTGCACAACAGCATGTGAAATGTATTGTCAATCAGTGTTGCTTCCTAAGTGGACAGTTTGATTTCACAGATGTGTGATTGACTTGGAGTTACATTGTGTTGTTTAAGTGTTCCCTTTATTTTTTTGAGCAGTGTATGTATAAACAGTGCCTAGTGAAATTATTAGCATTTTGTTGGCTTAAATTTGGAAAGCACAAAACTCTTGTTTTAAGGCATCAAAATGTGAAAACTGTGAGTACTTTCACTAGGCACTGTACAGTGCAGTATGTAGGTGTGCTATGCTACTGTATGTGCGCTGGTGGTCTGAGTGTGAGAGTGAGTGGGAACAGAAAGGTAGTGAGTATTGAGATAGATTGAGTATCTCTGGGAACACAAAGGTATTGAGTATTGACATCTATTGAGTATCTTTGGTGAGCTTGTGAGAGTTCCTTCCTGGTCTTACAGGGTTGTCCTCTTTTTGACGTGCCTCAGCTTTTTTCTTGTGCAGGCGCTCGCGGAGGTCCCAGATGCGCTTGTCCATCATGGTCACCTCTGTGTTGCGCTTATTCAGCAGCTCCTTGTTCTGCTGTAGCCTGCCATTCTGCTCCGCGTTCAGCTTGTTACGCACCTGACAGAGACAACAAGGAAGGGCATGGCTGTGAGTCACACCAGGGGGCAGATGGATGGGGAATGTGTATGCGTGTATGTGCATGAGTGGGCGTGTGTGCGCGTTGGGGGCATGGCAGAGTCACGCCAAAACTGGACATCTATTATACTCCGACGCAAATGTCCTTCAAAATGAAAATGTCAGCCTGACTCTAATCTCCTCTCTCTCATCTGATCTGCAGCTGGATGATGTAATTTGGAATTTCCCCAAAAAATATTAATCTGAAGTGTAATTTCATGACATAATCTGGAACCAAAATATGAATCTGAAGTGTCATTACTTTATATAGTGTAATTTCTTGATTTATTACGTAAAAACACGTGTCACGTCAAACTGATCTCTCTGCATGACTTTGTGTCATCATAATCTAGTGGTGTTGTGATAAAATGTTTACTTCTGTACACTACTTGCAGTACTTGTGGGGCGGCAGGTAGCCTAGTGGTTAAGAGCATTGGGCCAGTAACCAAAAGGTTGCTGGTTTGAATCCCCAAACCAACTAGGTGAAACATCTGTTGATGTGCCCTTGAGCAAGGCACTTAACCCCAATTGCTCTGGATAAGAGCGTCTGCTAAATGACTAAAATGTAAATGTACTACCGAAAATATAATTTGAAATGGCTGAAGCAAGCACACATTTTCTTCAGGAAATGTACCTGTAGTTCCTGGTAAAGTTTGCGTAGCTCCAGGGCGGCGGTGCCAGTGAGAGGTCCTCCCAGGGGCTGCAGGCCGTTGAGACGTCCCCTCCTCAGGTCCTCCAGCTGCTGGGTGAGCTGGTCCACCTTCACCACAGCTGACTGCAGCTCTGCCTGCTTCTCCTGGAACAGCCCACTCACATGCTGGATCTCAGCCGCTGCATGGGGAGAGGAGAGGGGACGCAATTCACTAATATCAGTAACTATGTATTATGTGTGTGTTGGGGAGAAATCAAAACATATGCTTTGAGTCTGATGCTGTGTAAGAGAAGAGTGAGTATAGTGTATTGGAACGTTGTGGACTGGATGGACAACTCCTCTTCCTGTGGAGTATCAGTATCAGTGTGTGGCAGGCAGGGTGCAGCCTTGGACGTTATACAGAACAGGACACTGCTACAGTATGACCATGGGGACTTTAAGACATCCAGAGAACTCCTGTCAACACCCAGACACACCCAGTTCCAGACCACAACATGGGGAGGGTCAGATTCCAGGCTCACTGACAGAACTAAGGAAAGAGATGACATCATGGACAGCTGAACGGAGCCCAGATTCTACTTCCACCACATTAACAGGGCAGTGTGTGTGTGCACGTACGTGTGTGTGTGCGTGCGTGCAAGCATGTGTGTATGTGATTGGAGCATTGCTTACACAGGTTGCCATTGATGAGCTTGCTGTAGTCCACCTGGCCCCTCATGGCGCGGATCTTCTTTAGTTTGGCCTCCTGACACTCCACTCGCTCCTTCAACCTCTGCAGCTTCTCAGCCTCCGACACTGTCTGGCCCTGTGTGTGGTCCTGCTGCTTCAGGTACCTCAGACGCTGCTCCTGAGAGGAGGGGAGGGGAGAGGAGAGGAGGGGAGAGGAGGGGAGCGTTGAAGGAGGGACAGAAGGGAACAATGAGTTACAGATGTGGGGAGGTCAAATGTAGTGCAAGCATTCCTCCACTTCATTCAGACACAGTGCAATGACGGATAAAATTACACACACTGACACACACACACACACATATTCGAAAACACACACACATAACAATGACCTGCTTTTAGAAATAACTTTCACACATACTACACAGCCACACACCTCAGTTCTCACAGAAGAGAGCTGAAAGGAACAAAGGATGAAAAGGAAGGAGATGTTAAAGGAAAAATAGAGTGAAAAGAGAAAGAACGTAATAAAAAGCATTGAGAAAACAGGGAACAAGAGACACACAGCAAATGTAATCTAATTCAGCTAACTCAGTGGACCTAAGCACACAGATCCGCAGAGAAGAGAGAATACACAAACCATTTTTCTCTATTCAAAATAGTTAAAGGGCTTTACTGCCAATACATGTTTTCTTCAATACAAAAAATACCAGCCCTGCAAATTACATATATAGATAATCTAAATAACGATAAGCAAATCCATACATACCAAATACACACAAGTAGTGGAGTGATTGAATGAGTGAAAAACAAATCAGTATGTGAATGAGAGAGTGAATAAAAGGGATTGCAAGGCTATGTGGTGCTGACTGAAGCATTTTCAGGTCTGCTCTAGAATGAGCAAACACAATGCAGGTTCTGACGGAGAGAGAGACAGAGTTGACTAAACACAATCCACTGTTCAATAGAAGGACAAAATGAGAGCAGTAACCCACTCAATGCAAACACCCAAAATCACAGCTAATCACACACATTAATTCACACTGTTAATACAGTGAACAAATAAAACATTCCCATACTGACACGTGTATGTAGCTTATACAGTCATATAAGCTTCATTAAACCTCTAGTAGTCCACCGCATCACCAGTATTACCCTAATCATCAAAATCATCAACACAGAAAAAGGCATCATGGCTTCTTATAGGATAGACAACGTTGAAACATCCACAGTGTTTCCTCAGCCCCATAATAAAACAAACAGTCATTTTTACCTTCAGACTGAGAAAGTCAAAACCTAATCCACAATCGGATCTACATAGGAAATGTGATTATCAATAAAATACTAAAGAATACGTGACTAGTTATCCCCTGATGTCTCAGGTAAATGCTTTACTGGTGCTGAATTAGAGTTTCCAGTATGTTGCGTGTGGTAAAATATAGGTTCCTCTCCCTCCTCTCCTCTCCTTGAGACAGCCCACTTCCTTCCCAGCAGCTGGCTGCTCACTGCTGACCTCATTTCCTGCCGGACATCTATTCCCTTCCTGTTGTTGTCCCTGCTCGTTGTCCCTGGCAACGCATGCTGCCACCTCACACAATGACCATACTGACCTTAGTAACCATGACCCTGTACCTAGATAGTGACTGAACACATCATCACACACAAGATGATCTAGGACCTGCTTGATGTGTTTAAATGACCACAGAGACCACAACAAGCTGGCCACAGCACATGTGACCAGATCAACAACAGACCATGTGTGAACTACATCCCATCCAATCAACCAATCAAAAATCAAGCAGAAGCAGAAGTACAATGGTCTGGAAAATCCTAGAGAGGAACCAGGATCATTCACTCTTACCCAAAGCATTCCATCCCAATCACTCAACATAACAGAAATGGCCAGACATCTCAGAGACCTCTAAAGCTATAGACACCACCAGTGGGTTTTCTGAATGTGAGGTCAAGATGGTTCCTGGTTGGAAGGGAGGTCTATCACTGTGAGGTTGATAATAATATTATGTTTATTGTTTATATACAGTACCAGTCAAAAGTTTGGACACACCTACTCATTCCAGGGTTTTTCTTTATTTTTACTACTTTCTACATTGTAGAATAATAGTGAAGACATCAAAACTATGAAATAACACATATGGAATCATGTAGTAACCAAACAAAATGTTATACAAATCAAAATATATTTTATATTTGAGATTCTTCAAAGTAGCCACCCTTTGCCTTAATGACAGCTTTGCACACTTTTTGCATCCTCTCAACCAGCTTAATGAGGAATGCTTTCCCAACAGTCTTGAAGGAGTTCCCACATATGCTGAGCACTTGTTGGCTGCTTTTACTTCACTCTGCAGTCCAACTCATCCCAAACCATCTCAATTGGGTTGAGGTCGGGTGATTGTGGAAGCCAGGTCATCTGATGCAGCACTCCATCACTCTCCTTGGTCAAATAGCCCTTACACAGCCTGGAAGTGTGTTTTGGGTCATTGTCCTGTTGAAAAACAGTGATAGTCCCGCTGCAGAATGCTGTGGTAGCCGTCCTGGTTAAGTGTGCCTTGAATTCTAAATAAATCACTGACAGCGTCACCAGCAAAGCACCCCCACACCTCCTCCTCCATACTTCATGGTGGGAACCACACATGCGAAGATCATCCATTCACCTACTCTGCGTCACACATAGACATGGCGGTTGGAACCAAAAATCTCAAATTTGGACTCATCAGACCTAAGGACAGATTTCCACCAGTCTAATGTCCATTGCTCGTGTTTCTTGGCCCAAGCAAGTCTCTTCTTATTATTGGTGTCCTTTAGTTGTGGTTTCTTTGCAGCAATTCGACCATGAAGGCCTGATTCACACAGTCTCCTCTGAACAGTTGATGTTGAGATGTGTCTGTTACTTGAACTTGAGAAGCATTTATTTGGGCTTCAATCTGAGGTGCAGTTAACTCTAATGAACGTATCCTCTGCAGCAGAGGTGACTCTGGGTCTTCCTTTCCTGTGGCAGTCGTCATGAGAGCCAGTTTCATCATAGCGCTTGATGGTTTTTGCATCTTGAAATGTTCCGTATTGACTGACCTTCATGTCTTAAATTAATGACGGACTGTCGTTTCTCTTTGCTTATTTGAGCTGTTCTTGCTTGTAACGTGTACGCTGGGAGTCTGGAAGCAGTGTCCCGAGTGGCGCAGTGGTGTAAGGTACTGCATCGCAGTGCTAGCTGTGCCACTAGAGATCCTGGTTCGAATCCAGACTCTGTCGTAGCCGGCCACGACCGGGAGACCCATGGGGCGGCGCACAATTAGCCAGGGTCGTCCAGGGTAGGGGAGGGAATGGCCGGCAGGGATGTAGCTCAGTTGGTAGAGCATGGCGTTTGCAACGCATTAAGAAGGAAATAAATTCCACAAATTAACTTTTAACAAGGCACACCTGTTAATTGAAATGCATTCCAGGTGACTACCTCATGAAGCTGGTTGAGAGAATGCCAAGAGTGTGCAAAGCTGTCAAGGCAAACGGTGGCTACTTTGAAGAATCTCAAAAATAAAATATATTTTGATTTGTTTAACACTTTTTTGGTTACTACATGATTCCATATGTGTTATTTCATAGTTTTGATGTCTTCACTATTATTCTACAATGTAGAAAATCGTAAAAAATAAAGAAAAACCCTGGAATGAGTAGGTGTGTCCAAACTTTTGACTGGTACTGTATATTATTGATCAGCAGTGTCTGTGTGCCTGTCTGTGTCCTAGTACCTTGGCAACCAGCATCTGCTGTTGGGCCTCGATCTGTTGCTGTTGCCGTGTGGCCATCTCCTGCAGCTCCGACAGAGTCAGCTCCACGCTAGGGTTCCCCACCTACACACGCACATCAGACAAACAGAGAGAAAGAACAAGCTCAAAATGTGGGCCCTCTCAAACAACAAACAAAGTACATCCCCACACACACATATTGACATGTACATGAAAACACTGACTGCTTCAGATGATAAAACATTATGCTATAGAGTTACAGAGACTGGTGTAGGCAGCAGTAGACCTAGATACAACAATAACAAACATAGAGACAACAGGTCTCATCTCACTATCTTATGTAAGAGTATTCTCCATAACATCAAAGACACATACCTCTCCTCTTTGATGTGAAGTTAGAGGACTCATACATTAGCTTTGTGATATACAAAATGAATATCAAATCGAATATCATACACATTTTAATATTAAACATTATGCTCATGACATTAAAGGTTTGCTGCCGACCCGTGATGCTGTGTGCAGGGTGTGTGCAACAAACAGCTGTCAAAAACAATAATGCTTATTTAAAGATTTGTTTTATTTCTCAGTGCACACACACTGCAGTCACAAGGCGCTCACACAAACACCAGCAATCATCAATCATCCAAGATGGCGTAGCAGTGCGGTCGTGTTCTTTGTTGTGTGTCCGTGTAAATAGCCTGTTTTTTGTATTTTTCGTACTTATTTCCCTGTCACACTTTTCATCCTTCTACAAAATATACTTTCCTCCAACCCGCCTCACTCAATGTGGAACGGATTCTATTATTGACTTACCTTTTATCTAGAATCTCCAGTTGAAACTAGCTAGCCAGCTAACTAGCTACTTGCTATTAGCCACCGTTAGCGGTTTTCACCCAGAACATCTGATTTTCTGCCGGAATAACTGAATCACTGGACATTAACACCGGATCGCAACTAGCTAGCCGCAACCGGATGGATGTTGCTGTTGGCTAATCACCGCTGCCCCCGAAGCAAGCAGCAGTTAGCCTTGAGCTAGCCTCGAGCCAGGCCCATATCCCGGCTATCTACCTCTCTGTCTACCGGACGGGAGTAGCCAGCTAACTAGCTACTTGCTATTAGCCACCGTTAGCGGTTTTTCACAATTGTCCGTGGCCTGCACTACCTACCAGCCAGCTCTAGCCTGGACTATTATCGGCCAGTCTGCACTGTCTGCACAGCACGTTATCGTTTCTAGCGGAATCACTGAATCACTGGAACTTTAATACAGGATCATCGCAACTAGCTAGCTGCGACCAAATGGATGTAGTTGTTGGCTAATCAGCCCTGAGCTAGCCTCGAGCCAGGCCCATCTCCCGGCTATCTACCTTTCTGTCAACCGGACGGGACCTCCTAGTGTTGACACGGAGCCCCGCCGATCCAACACGACTGGTCTGCCGACGAAATCGTCTGATGTGATTTCAACAGGCTTCCCGTTACGACGTCGACCACGAAGATCCATCTGCTAGCCCCGGCCCGATAGCACACGTAAGCCGTGGCCTCTTGCTCGCCAGTGCTGTAGCAGCCCCCGAACTACCTCCGAACTCTCCTATTGCTGTTCACCGGACCTTATGATAACTCAGCTATACAGCTGATGCCTGCTGGACTGTTCCTTTATACGGTACCGCATCCTGTTTATGTTTAGCCTCAGCCCAAACTTAGTCGCCATTACCAGCTGTTGTCTTAGCTCTCTCGAATAACACCTGTGATTGGTTTATGCCTCTCTCCCATGTCAATATGCCTTGCTTATTGCTGTTTTGGTTATTTCTTATTGTACTATTTCACTGTAGATCCCCCAGCCCAGCTCATCCTGCCTTAGATAGCTCCTTTGTCCCACCCCCCCCCCCCCATACACGCGGAGACCGACTCAATCGGTGTCTCCAGTGATGCTATCTCTTTCATCATTACCCAACGCTTAGGTTTACCTCCACTGTACTCATATCCTTCCATATCCTTGTCTGTACAAATGCCCTGAATCTATTCTACAACGCCCGGAAATCTGCCCCTTTTTTTCTCTGTACCCAACGTACTACAAGACCAGTACTTAAAGCCTTTAGCCGTATCCTTATTCTACTCCTCCTCTGTTCCTCTGGTGATGTAGAGGTTAACCCAGGCCCTGTAGCCCCCAGTTTCACTCCTACTCCCCAGGCGATATCATTTGTTGACTTCTGTAACCGTAAAAGCCTTGGTTTCTTGCATGTTAACATCTGAAGCCTCCTCCCTAAGTTTGAGTTATTCACTGCGTTAGCACACTCCACCAACCCTGATGTTCTAGCAGTGTCTGAATCCTGGCTTAGGAAGGCCACCAAAAATTCAGAAATGTCCATCCCCAACTACAACATTTTCCGTCTCGATAGAACTGCCAAAGGGGGTGGGGTTGCAATCTACTGTAGAGATAGCCTGCAGAGCTCTATCGTACTATCCAGGTCTGTGCCCAAACAGTTTGAGCTTCTACTTCTAAAAATCCACCTTTCCAGAAATAAGTCTCCCACTGTTGCCGCTTGCTACAGACCCCACTCAGCCCCGAGCTGTGCCCTGGACACCATATGTGAACTGATTGCCCCCCATCTATCCTCAGAGTTCGTACTGCTTGGTGACCTAAACTGGGATATGCTTAACACCCCCGCCAACCTACAATCTAAACTAGATGCCCTCAATCTCACACAAATTATCAACGAACCTACCAGGTACAACCCTGAATCTGTAAACATGGGCACCCTCATAGATATCATCCTGACAAATTTACCCTCTAAATACACCTCCGCTGTCTTCAACCAGGATCTCAGCGATCACTGCCTTATTGCCTGCGTCCGTTAAGGGTCCGCGGTCAAACGACCACCCCTCATCACTGTCAAACGCTCCCTAAAACACTTTAGCGAGCAGGCCTTTCGAATTGACCTGGCCCGCGTATCCTGGATGGATATTGACCTCATTCCGTCAGTAGAGGATGCCTGGTTGTTCTTTAAAAGTGCTTTCCTCTCAATCTTAAATAAGCATGCCCCATTCAAATAATTCAGAACTAAGAACAGATATAGCCCCTGGTTCTCCTCAGACTTGACTGCCCTTGACCAGCACAAAAACATCCTGTGGCGTACTGCATTAGCATTGAACAGCCCCCGCGATATGCAACTTTTCAGGGAAGTCAGGAACCAATATACACAATCAGTTAGGAAAGCAAAGGCTAGCTTTTTCAAACAGAAATTTGCATCCTGTAGCACTAACTCCAAAAAGTTTTGGGACACTGTAAAGTCCATGGAAAATAAGAGCACCTCCTCCCAACTGCCCACTGCACTGAGGCTAGGAAACACTGTCACCACCGATAAATCTACAATAATCAAGAATTTCAATAAGCATTTTGCTATGGCTGGCCATGCTTTCCACCTGGCTACCACTACCCCGGCCACCAGCTCTGCACCCGCTGCTGCAACTTGCCCATGCCCCTCCCGCTTCTCCTTCACGCAAATTCAGACAGATGATGTTCTGAAAGAGCTGAAAAATCTGGACCCCTACAAATCAGCTGGGCTAGACAATCTGGACCCTTTCTCTCTAAAATTAGCCACCGAAATTGTCGCAACCCCTATTACTAGCCTGTTCAACCTCTCTTTCGTAACGTCTGAGATCCCCAGAGATTGGAAAGCTGCCGCGGTCATCCCCCTCTTCAAAGGGGGTGACACTCTAGATCCAAACTGTTACAGACTTATATCCATCCTGCCCTGCCTTTTGAAAGTTTTTGAAAGCCAAGTTAACAAACAGATCACCGACCATTTCGAATCCCACCGTACCTTCTCCGCTATGCAATCCGGTTTCCGAGCTGGTCATGGGTGCACCGCAGCCACGCTCAAGGTCCTAAACGATATTATAACCGCAATCGATAAAAGACAGAATTGCGCAGCCGTCTTCATCGACCTGGCCAAGGCTTTCGACTCTGTCAACCACCGCATTCTTATTGGCAGACTAAATAGCCTGGTTTCTCTAATGACTGCCTCACCTGGTTCACCAACTACTTCTCAGATAGAGTTCAATATGTCAAATCGGAGGGCCTGTTGTCTGGACCTCTGGCCGTCTCTATGAGGGTGCCACAGGGTTCAATTCTCGGGCCGACTCTATTCTCTGTGTATATCAATGATGTCGCTCTTGCTGCTGGTGAAGCTCGGATCCACCTCTATGCGGACGACACCATTTTGTATACATCTGGCCCTTCATTGGACACTGTGTTAACAAACCTCCATATGAGCTTCAACGCCATACAACACTCCTTCCGTAGCCTCCAACTGCTCTTAAACACTAGTAAAACTAAATGCATGCTCTTCAACCGAACGCTGATTGCACCCGCCCACCCGACTAGAATCACTACTCTCGGCGGGTCTGACCTAGAGTATGCATACAAATACCTAGGTGTCTGGTTAGACTGTAAACTCTCCTTCCAGACTCACATTAAGCATCTCCAATCAAAAGTTAGATCTAGAATCGGCTTCCTATTTCGCAACAAAGCCTTCTTCACTCATGCTGCCTAACATGCCCTCGTAAAACGGACTATCCTACCGATCCTTGACTTCGGCGATGTCATTTACAAAATAGCCTCCAACACTCTACTCAGCAAATTGGATTTAGTCTATCACAGTGCCATCCATTTTGTCACCAAAGCCCCATATACTACCCACCATTGTGACCTGTACGCTCTCGTTGGCTGGCCCTCACTACATATTCGTCGCCAAACCCACTGGCTCCAGGTCATCTATAAATCACTGCTAGGCAAATCCCTGTCTTATCTTAGCTCACTGGTCACCATAGCAACACCCACCCGTAGTCTGTGCTCCAGCAGGTATATCTCACTGGTCATCCCCAAAGCCAACACCTCCTTTGGCTGCCATTCCTTCCAGTTCTCTGCTGCCAATGACTGGAACGAACTGCAAAAATCTCTGAAGCTGGAGACTCTTATCTCCCTCACTAACTTTAAGCGTCAGTTGTCAGAGCAGCTTACCAATCACTGCACCTGTACACAGCCATTCTGAAATTAGCCCACCCAACTACCTCTTCCCCATATTGTTATTTATTTTGCTAATTTGCACCCCAGTATCTCTATTTGCACATAATCCTTTTGCACATCTATCATTCCAGTGTTAATTACGAAATTGTAACTATTTTTGCACTATGGCCTATTTATTTATTGCCT